AAAACAGGACAAAAATACAAATATTCACGTGAAAGAATACTCACAGACAAAGTAATACATACATGCAAAACACAGATCAATACAACAAAGTAAGGTGATACATTTACGGTAGCATTGTTTCAAATGTAAATATTACACATTTGCTACAGTCATACCTGTAAAGAAAAACAAATTCTCGAAGATCTTTAAATGACGAGGTAGGGAGGCGGGTGTTTTCGGTGCTAAGGTGCCAAAGACTAGAGCACCGCCTGATGGCGTTTGCAAAGAAAATGGTCTATGAATTCACGCTATCCGACAACAGTTCAGTCGTGTCGTGAATAAAATATAATGTACCCCGATAAATCGGTTGCCATCGTCGCAGATTGCATGTGGATCCTATGTCGCCTTTAGGTAGGACAAAAGGGGTCATGAAACGTTATTGAGCTGGAATGTTCATGGCTTTAAGGGGGCGTACTGATCCTTGTCTGCCCAAATATACTCGCGCGGACCGCAACTGATTCAGAAGGTTCCTTGTCCCGTTGAAATTGCGAGGATAAAAGTGGATTCTTTCTTTCAGTTTTGCTTTCGCATAGCTTGATGACTTAATTGTGGGATTGAAACCACCCGCCTGACGACAGTTGAGCCCGGCTCATGGATTAGACAAGAGAACTGCGTGAGCACTCGACTTCGGCTCTTAAACAGTAATGCCTCCGCGGACACTCGGGTAGTGGTTCGTGTCCAACCACTGCGGTGATGAGAATAGCCGAACTCTAACAATGCCCAGAGCTCAGTACGCGTTTTCTGCTTTGCCGATCCCAGCGCGTGGCTATGAATTGCGTTGGCGGCATAGGATAGGCACCAGGCCACGTGGTCGCTTGATCTGGCTCCGAGTTGAGGGGACAAACGATGCTCGTACTGCCGCGTGCGAACAGCTAATTCAGCAGCGTGTTCGACTCTCACGCCACAGGCAGGGGTTCGATCCCCACCAGCACTTGTCCTTTTTAACCTTTTTGTGTTTGCACGACTGGAATGTTACAGACGACTAGAATATCTTGTTGTTTGTTCGTGCTCGGAAACTTCTAGATACCCACGCGCTTACAAAAGGAGATTCGGATGGCTGCTTGAGTCAGTCGTCCTTCCGTCGCCGTCAATGTATGCGCGGTCTTTGTTACTTTATGTTTCTCGGTACAAGTTCCCCGCATTAAACATTCATTTTAAGTTTTATTAATCAAGTTTATGTTTTTAATAGTGACAATATTTCACGATTTTATTTGCCAATTGTTATTGGTTAGAAAGAAAAACTAAGGCAAGTTTATTCGGTTACTAATGTTAGGGAGTGATTTTGAAAAGTATTTAGCGAAAGTAGAATTATCGTTTCATGGCCTCTTTAAGAAGCATTTCAGTCATGTATATCACTTGAGGTCTACATTTTATTTAATATTTTCCCAGCGTAAAAACACTATATTATGCCCTTTGTGTGTTTACGTTCTATCATAACGCACTATTTTGTAATTGTTTTAAGAAATGTTAAACCATGCTGCCGTTGTTGCTACAGATTTGTATTAATGAATTAGTACTAACGAGACTGTTTGTTGTTTATGAATCGCTTCTACCAAGCCTGTTCTTTTTTTATGAATTGCTTTTCACAAGGCTGTGCTGTATTCATGAATTGCTACTAACAAAGCAGTCCTGCATTCAAAAAATTGCTGCTAACATTATAGTGCTGTTTTCATTAATTGCTACTAACAAGACAGCTTGTTTTTCATAAATTGTTTCTAACCACGGTAGAGAATAAAAATAATGTGATTTATATCGTGATTTTATTCATGATTTAATTCCTGATTTAAGTTACACAAGTTTTACTCTGATTATTTAAATCAAACGTTTTACGCAAAAATAACTACCAAATTCTATTTTGTTTACCGCTTGTATATCATTTGATGTTATATTAGCATTTATTTTTTTATTTGAATCAAAGGATCATGTATCAAGAAAGATTTATGGCAGACTGAACATTAGCAAAAACTCCGCTCTTTCGAGCAAATCAGAGCTAACCTTCTTCCTTCCTTCCAGTTCGTTCGTCATTTACGATTATGTTCTATCGCGAGTGAATCAAAATGCAAAATAAAACAAGAAAATTGAAGCCCTATTACAAGGAAATGAGAATGTCAAAGAAGAGCTAATAATAATTTTCCGTAGCTAAAAATATCAAACTTACTTTTTATGCCGGAGTTTATATTATTCTTATTATTATTAAACATATCCTTATTAGAAGGATTCTCTCTAACCCCTTTTCTACTGACATAGGAGAAATAGTGGGGGTTAATATTAACCCCCTAAACGTTTTCGGTGAGCGTAGCTCGTCAACGTGAAGCCGTCCCCAAACTGTTAAGGACGAGTATAGCTTGTCTGCTTTCTCCTGTCCACGCACTCAACCGATTCGAACGAACCAGGCTCGCTAATGGCTTAGTTTGCGGCTGAGCAAACAACTGGCAACACTGATTTTTTTTAGCTATGTTTTTATTTTGTTTGTGGCTTGAAATATGATTGTGAAGTCAGAAAATTTGATGTTGAAGACAACGCTTAAGCCGTTGAGGGTCAGAGATACCCAAACACTGAAAACGATTAAAGGGTTAATGAAACCTTGGTATATAAGAGTGCTTCAAAAATTTAAATTAGCAGTAATTCTTTCTTCGGTATTGTTGTGATTTATCGGGAAGATTTTATGTTTAAAAATACATCTAGTGCATATGAAGGGATAATTTATGGCTACAGTGTATAAATCAAATTGATCTGAGTTAAATCAACTAAATCTGATTCATTTTTCTCTAAATTTTTTTGTTGCTTATTTTACCCTGCTTCTAACAAGACAGATTTTCGTTTTATGAATTGCTACTAAGAGGACAGTGTTCAGATTTATGAATTTCTAATAACAAGGCAATGCTATATTTATACAGGGCTAATAACAGGTGCAGCACAGAAATAATGCAACCGTGAAAGGGCCGGCCCTTTAAGTAAGCAAAAAAAAAAAAAATAAGGTCCTTTTTTGCCGTTCCCACAGAAACTGATCTTTGCTTTTGCTTTTCTCTTTCCCATCCTTCCCCTCCTTTCTTTTTCTGTTTCTTCCCTATTTCTGGGCGTCCTACTTCCTCGCACATCCTTTATATCGGCACCATATACGTTTCTCAATCACCATCCGTCTCTTACCCCTTTTGAATCGCCTACTTACTCATCATTATTTTCCTCCTTATTTCTTCACAACTCGTATTCTCTTTCCATTCCTTTCCCCGTTACCCGTCCTTTCTTTAACTGCTTTCTACTCGGCCTCTAAAATGACCTCGTTGATTCTTGTTTTTGTCTCTCCCACTTAATTTTTATATCCCAACCGCTTCGTTCCGTCCTGTCTTTCCACTTGACTTTCTTTTCCCTTTTTGTCCATCACCCCACCCACACCTCATCTTTGTAACTCTCATTATTTCTTTCTCTATCTTTTTGACCATATCCCAAACTTTTATAATTTCTTTTGCAATTTGTTTCATTCCTTCGTACTTCTTCTCACTATATTTCATCGTCATATCCCACACCTCTTTCCTTTTTCTCAACTTCCCTTTCCGGCTCGTTCCATTCGCCTGCTTCCTTCCTCCCCTCTCTTTCTTTCTTTCTCTCTCTTTCTCATACCTATTTTCCCACACATTGACTCCTTCCTTATTTTTCCGCCCCACATATTTCTTTTTTCTTACTCTCTCTCTTTTCCCTAATTTTCCATACCTCTGTTCTTCTACTTTACCATCTTGAACCCAAATCTGATATTTCAACTATCTCCTTTTCCCTACTTTATCCTTATTTCCATCCCTTATCCCGCTCTCAACCACGTGCATTTCTCACGTCCTGATCCCGTCTTTACCCTTCCACAACACCATTTCTTCCAACTCCCTCTGCACCTTCACTTGCACCACCTTCTTCCCCACTACTCCACAACTTTCCTCCTACTTCTGGCCACCTGTACCTTGTCACTACATTTCCCACCTTATCCCCATTCCCCACCATACTTTCCATCCCATCTCCTTTGCCTCTCTATCATGCATATGTTCCCCACATCCCGATTCCGTCCTTACTCTCTTACAATTTCTTTCTACTTCCTCTCGCCTCTCACTCTCGCACTCATTCATTTTTGCCATTTTCCGCATCTTTGCTTTTTCATTTCACTACGCTGACACCGTCTCTATATCTCACACTTTCCCCTCTCCCTTTTCGCCTCCTCTAATTTTTTCCTCTTGCCATCTGCAACTGTGACACACATTTCCCTACATCCCTGCCCCATTTTTTTCACTTTCACTTGCTTTTTTGTTCGAAATCCCCACTCCTCGGGTCTTTTATCTTACTACCTTGGCCCCGTACCTCTATCTCGCACATTTTCTTCCTTCCTACCCTCCTCTTTTGTTTCTCGTCTCATCTCTCCCACTACCTTTCTCACACACATTTCCCTAAAACCCATCCCTTTCCTCACACTCTCCTTTCTCCCATTCCCGGTGCCTCCTTTTTATATTTTATCATCTTCACTCCATCCCTAATTTCCAATATTTTCCCGCTTCCCTAAACTACTCTCGCTTGTTGTCTCCTCTCTGTCAAAAAAAAAAAAAAAAAAAATTCCATATGCCGGTTTTCTTTTTTTTCTCCACAATTTCACCATACGACTTATTTTCCGCTCCCTCTATCACCACTCTCCTCTCTTTCCCCTCGCCCGAACACCCCACGCACCTCCGCCCTCCCGCGCTTCTCCCGCCTCCCGTTTCCGGGAGCAGGTGCCCGTCGCTCCGTCCCTGCCTCCGTCGGCGTCTTGGCCAGAAGCGGGGGTCGAGGGCATGCCGCGAGGTGGCCGCCTGTCGTCGTCAGAGTCCCGCTGGCGCGCCGCCGTCGCCCAGGCGGCTTCGGCGCGGGGAACGAGCAGCGGCGCGTCCACCCTGCCGCCGCCTCCGAGGTCGGCCACGCGCACGTCGCTCAGCTCGATCGCCGGTGCCGCGATGATGTCGGCGGGCCCTGCGCCCGGCGGAGGCGTGACGCCGCTGCCGCCGCGCTACCGCTTCAGGGACCTCATCCTGGGAGACTTCGCCTACGGAGACGACGGCACCAGGTGAGCTGTGAGAAAAAGTTGTCTCGCGCGGTATTCGCGGTAAACCTTACTGAAGAAATTTGCAGCGACCTTTATCTCCTTTAATGCATGAAATTCTCTTTTTAAGGAGCGATTGTTAAAGTTTCTTCAGAAAACATTGTATTCGGGAAGTGCAGAACTTACATTTTTACTAATTTCCCCGTTAAATTTAGTAATGAAACTGACTTTGTGCAGAGACCTAATGTGACGCCTATTTTCAAAGTAAGTTTAGAGGGAACCTCTTTTGGTGTATAACTCACGTGACGTCAGGTCACGTGACATCAATGTTCCCGCCCAACTTAGTCTAAAAAGCGAATTAGGGTATAGGTCTCCTGATGTCGAATCACGATATCAATTTCCCCGCCTAATTTAGCAGAAAAGCTGAATTGGTGTAGATGTCACGTGACGTCAATTTTTCCCTCTAAATTTAGCGGAGAAAGCGAATTGGTACACAAGACTCATCATGTCGATTTTCTCGCCAAATTTAGCAGGGAAACTGATTTAGTGTCTAGGTCACGTGACGTCAATTTTTGTGTTAAATTTAACGGGGAAAATATATTGTGTCTATGGTCCCGTGTCGTCAGATCACGTCACATCAATTTTTCCGCTACATTTAACGGGGAAACTGGATTATTGTTTAAGTCACGAGACGTCAATTTCCACGCTAAATAAAGCAGGAAATGCACAGGCGGATGAACAAAATGTTTGGATTAAAAAGCATTTCACGCTTAAAATCTACATGTTCACCTTTCTACCTATATCTCACAATAGTGAGTTTTGGTATATCGTTCCAAAAGCTTCGATAACAATACCCGTTAAAGATAAGATTTATGTCCGAAGGCGCCAGAAGAGTACGGGGTATTGTTATCGGAGATATCGGAACAATACACTAAAACTCCCCATTACCATACGAAGGACGCAGATTAAGAAAAATCTTAATATTAAGTCGATGTATCTGCGGACTTCACAATTTCAAGTAGTTGAATAAAATGTTACCTTATGCACGTATTATACGCACAAAACACACAAAATACTGCCGGTGCTGGGTTTCCGTATTTGACTAAATAGAAGACCGCTAAATAAACAAGATATTACACCTTGTGGAAGAAAACAGTTTCCTTCATGTGCCATCTGACAAGAAAAGTAAGGCAGTCAACCACGAACAAATAATAGTGACTTGTTCGTTCTCGATAGACAGATCTCACAAAGCGTTCCACGCACGCCTGACGCCGCCGTGACATTGGTTCACGGGGGGCGGGCGGCAGTGCATGAAACGGATCGTACCTCCTCGTGGTTGGCACACCCAGAGTTAAGAGCAGTTGTAGCAAGTAAAGAAAGACTAAGGTTCCGTTGAACCATTTCGTCGACGCCACTTTTCACTTCCTGCCCAGCAGGCGTCACTGTTTTTTTTTTTTTGTTTTTTTATTGGTGTGCGTGTCTTCTTTTAAGGTATCTGTGCTCGGTTGAAACATTTAGAGTTCAAGCTGCTTCCCCACCATCAAAACACACCCTAAGAAGCGTCTGTGAGTTCGCTTTCCTGCATAACTCGAAGGGAGCCAATCACCAAGAACAAAAAAGAGATCTCCGCGAATGACGTAGCCCTGAATACAATGCAGTATATTTGTAGTCTGCGATGGGCGCGAGAACAGTGCGCAAAGGAACCGTCATGAATGGGCAATGTATCGGCGCACATCACTTCTTCCGTCTAAGCATTATTCTGACGTTCATCATTCGCTGGGATCCTTTTTTTGTTCGCCGTCATTGCGTGTCTCCGTGTCCTTCGAGATTGTGAACTCACAGACGTTTGATAAAGTGCACCGCACTCCTGTAGATTAGAGTCGCTGACATCCCGAGAAACACGGGAACATTGACATCTTCAGAAACACATAGGAAGCCAGGCCCCGCGTTTGTTAGGCCCTGCCAGCGATTATAGTGCGCTTCATTTATAGTGTTTATTGAAGAAAACGAGGCCGCAGACGCTTGATACAGATATAGCTGGATGATATTCTCTGCGGGCTGATGAAACAACGGCTGCTCATGAAAGAATTGAGAGCGGTTCGCACGTCTCCCGCACGTGATATAGTAACACTGACAACGACGACGCGGCCGTTTTTTATTTTTCTGTTTGCGCGTCTTCTACGCAGTACTAAACCCGCAGAGTCCACTGTGCGTGTAGCACCCTGATAAGGGCGATATTTTGTGATTATTCATCAAGGTTAATGTCGGCTCTTGCTGCTGCCTTCCATTCCAGGTTAATACATCAGAAATAGCGTATCAGTGCTTTTCCCGCATTTTGCCGCGTGTGTTAAAGTGCGTGTTTATGAGTAGTTCTTGTTTAGATGATACACCAAGTTCCGGTGGCAACCCCTATGCATTGTGGTTTCGGACATTTATCTAAAAACGCGTTAAATTTGTTTTCTAACTTGTGAAAATCGATGACGATGGCGGCGCTCTTTTTGCGGTGCCGGCTACTTTGTACCAACTGTAACAAAATAAATAAATAAACCGTACAAATATACTGAAGTTTGGCACAAGAAAAAGATAATTCGTATTTTAGGTGTGTAACACACAACATTGAACACAGTTACAGAATCCCAGTAATACACATTCTTGTAGAGTTACCTAAACAGTACCGATCGCACAGAGGTAATAGTTTGGTGCGATGTCAATATCGATACGAAAGTTGCGTATAACATGCCGCGCTCTTTCATGAAGCGCCGCAGACGGCCATGAACACAGCCCCTTTGAAAGTACGAACGGTCGATTGTCCAATTATTAAAATCTGCAATTTCCTTCTTTAAAAAAAAAAAAAAAAATTTGCATTTAGGAATAAGGTGTTTTACATATTCGACCGTGAGACCTCAGGTGCACTCTCGTGATGGTACTCGAGATATCTTGAAGAGGAACGTTTTTAAGAATGCGACCTCCCTTTAGCCGGAGTCTGTGAACTATTGTATCCATAGAACTTGGCAGGTCTGTATTTCCTGGAAAGTTGAGATTAGAAGCTAGTGCGCAGGGTACAGACATTTCGCTCTTTCTAATCACTTCCTTTTGACTTCGTCTTTTTGTTGACAGAGTGAGTAAACTAAAAGTCTTGATATAAAGCCAATGAAAAGACGTATATCTTTATTTGATGTACCACAAAGAAAAAAAAAACGAGAAACCAAAATGCAGATTTAAAAGATATTAATTGATCAGGTTGTTTATTAGAAAACTAGAATAAAATTCGAAGAATAAATGCTCTACAAATATTAGATATGCATCACTTTTTTTCCCTTCTCTACTGATAAAGGTGTTGAGAAGTAATTTATTTGTATTCATTAATTTATTGTACTTTTCAAGTACCCCTAAATAGCCCGCGGGCATACATAAGGGTGCACCGTTGACACATTCCTTCAGTGTTGCATAAAAAGCAGGCACACGAAACGCACGCATAGTATGAAGAAAAAAATTAGTGAAATATAAATGTAAATGAGGAAAAAGTGCATTAAGTTGAAAATAACACTGTTTGCTAAAAACGCGGATACAAGAAAGCATCGCATTATAAAAGTATTAGCAGAAACCGCATATTAAAACTTTCCCGCAAAAACAAAACAACTACTTTGGGTGTGTTTACCACATTTGATATGCTAAAATTATTCTGAATATATTCAATGGGTCTTAAGCTTTTTGGCTCAAAGGAACCGAAAACCCGATGGGAGCGAAGAGTCCTGCCAGGTACAGCAATGAAAACGGATGAGGTTAGGTTTGGGCAATTGATAAAATCGTGGAGATATTTGTGTAAAAATAAAAAGTCCCGTGCCTGTCACTTTTCAGAGAGGCAGTGCAGGTTTAAAATCTTCAACAAACACTAACGGCTGATATAAATTCGTCTGTAAAAATAACCATCGTCAAGCAGTTCAAACAGACTTCTACATATTTTCAAGTTTGTTCGAGTTTGCTTGGTTTAAACGATTCCAAACAACGCTGAAAAAGATCCAGTTTAAACATAATGAGTAATCGATACAGATACGAGAAACAAAAGTCTCTCCTGATAATCATTCCAGCAATCGAGCAAAAAGTACGTTAACATACATTGCTCAAATGCGTCGCATGATAAGAGCTTTTTTTTTTTCTTCGTTTGTTTCGCGGGTTGGCCGCGTAGGGGGCAGAGATAAAGGCGTGGTGCCTGACAAAGCTCTGCCCCTTAAAGTTCAGCAGCTGAAGATCGTTACGCAATAACAGATTCTACAAAACATTATACAATTAAAATAAAACAAGAGAAACCAGTCAAAGCTACAAGGGAAAAACACTACATTCATTTGGTAAATAAAACACTATATAAACGTCAGTATGTGATGGTCGAGAAAAACCCAAGACAGAAGCAACGAACAAGAAGCTTGAAAGCAATGCCGACATGTCAGCATCAACAGCAACTTCAGATGACGGTATACGGTGAAACCATATATCTTTGAAATTAGCTATACCTAGTGATTATGTTGTTGGTGCAATACACTATCCAAATGACAACGTGATTTCACTGCCAACCAATCAACTTCTGCAGTCCTTTTTAAAACCAGGAAACGTGTTGTTAAAGCTAATGTTCAAATCCGTTCTATTTAAAGTTTTAGTTGTTTGAAAAATTAAAGTTTGTTGACCATAGTTGGTTCTTATAGCCGTCATCCTTCGCTTTGGGTTTCTAATCGGATATGCACATTAACTGTTTGCTGATATGGAATAAAGCTTATTTTAATGTACCCATTGTAAAAAAAATGAAGTAATATATTTGGTATGCCTTAAGCATATTATATTTGATGAAGAGTGGTTATGTCCTTATATTTCTAGTGTCACCTTTATCATTTTCACACATTCGTAAGACATTTTTCTGCTTAAGGACTATTTTATTATAACTCGCCGCTGTCGTCGTTCTCCTGACCAGAATTTCATAACTAATTTTGAAGTAGAATAAGGAATAATATAATGTGTGTTTAAAACTTGGTAGG